GCCAACGGCTGCCGAACCCTCGTGCCCGGCATTCTGGGCGGGCTCCGCCACAGTGGATGGCGGGTCGGGAAGGGTTCGTGCCGTGAAAGCTCGAGGAGCCCCCTGGACAGCAAAGGGGACCTCGAGGCAGGGGCGTCAGGGAGGGGGACGGGCAGGCCTGGAGACGCCGGGTAAGTGGTGCCGGCCGGGCACGAGGCAGGGTCTGGGGCGCACCCCGCCCCGACCGCGCGGGCCTCCCTTGTGTCCTCCTCGTCCCCGCGTCGGCCTGGGCTGCCCTGCACTGCCCGTACTCACGGCTCGGGCTTGTTCTGGTCTGTAGGTCTGTAGGGCCGGCTGCTCTGGCCCGTGTCCCTCCGTCCTTCAGTCCTGGCCACCCCTGCCCCGCCCTCACCAGGAACCTGACACCCACTCCCAAATCGGGGTCGGAAAACGTGGGGCGGGACCCAGAACCCCCTCCCCCAGCGCGGTGTGACTCGGGAGTAGGGGGCGGGTTTCTGCAAGCTGAAGGTTGCTGTAAGGTCTTGGGGCGGGGGGTACCCAGAATCTCACGCGAGTGTGGTGTATTCGAGCTAAAAATAGTCAAATGTAGGGGAAAGGTCACTGAGTATCAGCTGAGCTGCCTGGACAGCCCCACTAGGCCCTCTTCCACCCCACCTCCCCCAGAGTCCTAGCATTTATCACTCCGGACCTGGAGCTGAGGAAAGGAGGCCGCAGGGCGTGGGGCCCCGGTTGGCCCCGAGTAACCCTCACAACCACGTAAGTGCAGTGCACCGTCCGGCCGGGCTCTACAGAGAGCGGGGAACAGGCTCAGAGCAGGGCCTGTCAACCTGCTCCCATTCGCGGCTGGGTACTTCCTGCTGCTTCAGAGCAGAGTCAGGCCAGGGTTCAAGGCAGAAAGGAAGAAGCTGTTTATTATGTGAAGAAGTTTATTGTCTGAAGGTACACAGCCCCGGGCTCCCTGCTCCCACGGGCACAGGGACATGTCAGCCTCAACTTCTCCAGCGTGCGGGGCTCAGCCCCAGTGCCAGGGCCTCCCTCCAAGGTCCTGCCTTGGAGGCTCCGGGGAAACCTCAGGGTGGGGAGGTCAGGACTTGGGGTGGAGGGTGGTCAGCTGCCTCTTCTGCTGGAAGTAGAACTGGAATCGAGACTGGGCGTACTCCTAGGAAGGAAATCCGTCCCCCCAGCAGTGAGAAGGCTCAGGCCAGCACCCCAGCCCTGGAGAAGTCTGACCACGCCACTCAGCATCTCCTGGAGGATGCGCAGCCCTGCTGCCCCCACCTATCCCTAATACAGCCATCTTCTGGTTTACTTACCAAGTAACCAAATTCTATAGTGGACATGGATGACTGGAGGATGGACCAGAGACCCCAGAAGAAATGAGACGCCAAGGCATACCTGGGTGGGTGGGCAAGGGCACATGTGGCACTGCTGGAGTGCCCCTCCCCTGGGCTGGTCAAGCCCCTCCCCTCTGACCCCTGCCCCACCGCCCTAACCCCCTTGTCCTGTCTCCACCACCCAGACCTCCTCCTCATTCCCTGCCTCCACTCGGCGACACAGCTTACCTGCCACCTGGTGAATCTGACTGCCCACCCTCTTCCTCAGCCCCCGTTTCCTCTGTGCCCTGCCCTCCTCCCTCACCGATTAACCTCCACGAGCAAGTCTTCTTCCAGCTTCCTCTGCTCCTCTGGGGAGGGGGTCTTGTCTTTCCTTATCTCTGCCAGGTAATGGCGAATAAAATGGAGCTGAAACCAGCAGAGTCAGTGTTTTCAGTCAACTCCCTTTGGTGCCGTTCCCTCCAGACTGAACCTCCCTGCCCCTCCCCACCTCTTCCTGCCATCCACCTCTGGCCCACACACCTGCTGCCCCCGGGTGGGGTAGTCTGCTGGCCTCGCTGTGTAAAAAGGCCACTCCTCGTGCGTATAATCATAAACCCATTCACAGAAATGGTTCCCGATGTCAAAGCCCCTGGGGAGTAAGGTGGACACTCAATCTGCAGGTGGGATGCAGAGATGGGGAACAGTCCGTGGGAACAGACACCCCCTCACCTGTAGTTGTAACTGCTGTACTCAAAGTCCACAAGCATGAGATTGTCGGCATTTTCTGGCTCTGAGAGCAGCAAGATGTTCCCTGGGGGGACAGGGTAGGGTTCTGGTCACCCCAGGACCCTCTGGCCCCCCACCTTACGATCAGGCAGATTCAGATGCCTCTTCCTACCTTCCTGGATGTCATTGTGGCAAAAGACCACTGGTGATGGGGTGGAGTCCAGTAATTTCCTGCAGGGGAAGGGGGTCAAGGGTCCTAACCAGCAGTGACCAGAGGACCAGAGCACCCTTATGGGCCCGGCCCAGAGCACAGCCCTCAGCAAATCCCGGGAGGGCCCCATGGGGCAGCAGGCTCTGTCCCCTGCTCTTCACCTTACCTGAGGTTGTCCATCTCATCCTTCAGGCTGTACACCTCCAGCAGGTTCAACTGGGGGAGGCCCGTAGGGGGCAGGTCTTGGATCTGTTTTAGGTACCTGAGGCCCAAAGAATGGGATGTGTTCACTCTGCTGCCCTCAATCACTCCTCACCTACCTATCCCTCAGGTCAGACTATCCACTCTCTTTGGACTTGTCTGACAAACATGTGGACGCCTATCCTGTGGAGGCCCACCAGTCACAGCCAGCACGAGGGCCAGCCAGGTGTGCAGGAACCCCGAGGAGCCTGACTCACCGCTCCATGGTCCCGAAAAGCCAGTGGGGCTCTTTGGTGAAAGGCATCTCCATGCCGTGGAACTGGGCCATCTTGGTGGCAATGGCTGCTGACAGCACAGGCTCACGAAGCTCTTGAGTTTTCAGGGGCCGGCTCTGCACCCAGGAACCTATCAGGGTGGTGAGGGGGCTGGGGCAGGAGGGGAAGGGCTGGGGAATGGGGGAGGTAAGGATCTTGGGGAAAATCCCCTACCTGGGGCTGAGGGAGGTGAAAGCAGACTGGGGGGGGGGCAGGGGAGGGGCCTGGGGGCAGGAGGTGCCTCAGGGAGGTCAGGGCTGGGCTCGTACTGGGATATACTGCTCCAGTCGACCCTCTGGGAAGACGCCGTAGAGCTGGGGCCCCAGTGACCGCTCAGCGAGGATGGCGAACATCACGCTTTCAAGGACCAGGGAGTCCACACCCTTAAAGAAGGTAGACACCAAAGGGCAGAGTCAAGAGGGCAGCCAGAGCAGCCTGCAGCTGGCACAGGGTGAGAAGGCTCTGGTTCCTCCCTCTACCACAGCTGGCTGCCTTGTCCTACTGCCCAGAGGCTCTGGGGCACAGGCCTTGGGGTCTAGCAGGCCGGGCTCTGCCACTCGCCAGCGGGGCGATAATGGACAAGTTACTTAAGTGTGTGAACCTCAGTTTTCCCATTTGTGCAGTGGGATGATCCTACCCGCTAGCCTTAAGTGACGAGTTCTAGAGCCATTAGCCACTGCGGCCCTCACGCCCTCCTCACCTGCAAAATGGCCCCGTACAACCGAAGCAGCACCTCCCTGGGCTCCTCGCCATGGCTAGGCAGGTGTTCCGGGAGCGAGCAGCGGAAGAGCAGGTTACTGAGGCCCCCGCTGCGGACCCATAAGGGCGCACTCAGCCTGCGGCTGGCTGCACCCGCCTTTCCGCCGCAGGCCCCCTCGTCCTCCTTGGTCCTCCCCGGGGTTCCCTGCGCCCCCATCTTCTCCAGCCCCCCCTTCATTCTCCTCCGCCCGCCCCGCCGCCCTCCCTGGACCCCCAGTGCCCCTTTCTCCCCCGTCCTTCCCGGTTCCCCTCTTCCGGTCACGGGCTGTCACTGTGCCCTCCAGGCCGGCCGCGGCCCCGCCCCTGCCCCGCCCCAGGTTCGGGCACACGGGAGCTGCACAAACTCTGGGCGCCGGGAAGGCCCGAGCCCAACCCCTGGCCCCGCTCCGCGCGCAGGAGAGGGCTGACCCCTGACCTCCCACCTCACGGGGTTAACCCTCAGCTCCTCGGGCCGCACCCGACGCCAGGCCCCGCCCAAGTACTCCCGGCACCACTGGTAGGCTCGGCGCTCGGCGTCCTGTGACAGCGAAGACGTGCGTCGCCGGATCGGGGCCGCGTCCGCGCACTTGGACAGTTCCAAGCTGTCGCTGGCCGGGCAGCCCCCGACGGCCCCGCCTCCGGCCACAGCTGTCCCCTCCGCCGCCATGGCTGGGGCTCGGCCCGGCCCAACGAACGGCTGCGCTCCGCCCCCTACGGGCAGGCTCGGCTCCTTCCGGCCGCGCTCGGCTCTGCTTCCGGCCAGCCTGGGCTTCTCCACCCATACTCGGCTCTTTCCGGTGCCGGTCGGCTCTCTCCGTGCCCCTGGTCTGAGTGCGCCCTCAGAAGGCCAAGATCCGCCCGTCTTCGCCGTGCCCCGCCCCTGATCAGAGCGAAGGCCAATGGCGCCACTCTCTGTATGGGGCGCGTCCCGGATCCTCCCTTGAGGCGTGGCTGCGCGAAAGATAGGCTTCTGTTTGGACCGCAGCCGGAAATGGAAAAACGACGTAGGCCAATCAAAAGCGTGATGCGCGGTTGGATGCAGAGCACCGCTGTGTGTCTTGTGCACGAGTCATGTGGGCGGGATGCAGCTCCTTTGGCCTGCCAGGACCGGCCTGTTGGCAGGAGTGGAGCGGGCCGACTACTGGTGGCACGTGTCTTCGGAAAGGTGAGGTCTGGGGATAAGGGCCCTCGCAGGCCCCTGACATAGGCGCGCCCTTCCTGTCCTCACGGAAGACATTTGGCCCCAAGGTTAGTAAGGCAAGGAAAGCTAGCCGTTAAGTGAGGGTAGCCGGGGCCTGGAAGCGTGAGCCACATGTGGGAGGAGAGTGAGTATGTGTGCGTGTGTGTCCGTTTGTCTGTCTCTTATCTGAGGGGGAGAGAGTGTGGGAGCACATAGGAGGTGCTCAGTACACATTTGTTGAATGAATGAAAGAAAGATTGGGACTCTAAGATGGGATGTGTACACTTGGGACAACTCAAATGACTCCAGATATCCTAAATCCCTAATCACCGCGGAGCTTCCCTTTTCAGTAGATGCGCACCGTTGCAGGTTGCAATGACCTTACCTTAGGCTGGAAGAGGTTGCCTTCATGCCCCGCTCCACCACCCTCATTGCCTCCAGACCTAGAACCAGAGTCAGATCCCAGCATGCGGGGGTCAGAAGACTCAGACATAGAGAAGACACCCCCTGGGGCTGCGTCACGTCTCCATGGCCTGCTTCTGCACTTTCTCATGTGCTCACTCACCTTACACTGACAGCATCCTACAGTAAGTGTGTGCCTCGTGCATTTGTGCTTTCTGCCCCACGCTGGAGTGGCAACCAGGTGACTTGACCCACAGGAATCTGTGGCAGTGCCTGTCGGACCATGGTGTTCTCAGGGCTGTGTCTTAGGCTGGGTTCTCTACAGAAGCAAAACTAGTAAAGTGTATAAATATATACAGAGAGAGATTTATATCAAGGAAATGGTTCCCATGATTGTAGAGGCTGGAATATCCCAAGTCTGTGGGTCAAGATAGAGTCTTCTGATTCACGTAGCTACAGCGGCTTGCGAACCCAAGAGCCAAGCAGGGCTCTTGCTCACAGGCTGCGAAAATCAGCAAATCCCAAGATTAGCAGGCAAGACTGCAGGTAAGCTGCTAGTTCAAGTCCCAAGAACCAGAGGTCAGATGAACAGGAGCCAGCTGCAGGATCCAGAGCAAGCAAAAGTCCGTCAGCCTTGCCAGAGAGTCCACCTATATTGAATGTAGGCCACACCCCCCATGGAAGTAATCACATCGTCGTATGACTGCCAAACTACATTATAACTGCCAAACCACCGAGAATCATGGCCCAGCCACGTTGACACACAACCTTAATGATCACAGATACCATGACGGTGGATAAGGCATTCTGTAAGTCCACAGATGATAGTTTTGGCAGAAGCATTGCATGCAGCAAAGACAAATCCATATCCAGAGTAAGTGTCTATTCCAGTAAGAGCAAAACACTGCCCCTTCCATGATGGAAGCTGTCCAATGTAACCAACCTGCCCCCTGGTTGCTGGCTGATCACCTCGAGGAATGGTGCCATATAGAGGACTCAGTGTTGGTCTCTGCTGCTGGCAGATTGGGCACTCAGCAGTAGCTGTAGCCAGGTTGGCCTTGGTGAGTGGGAGTCCATGTTGCAGAGCCCATGCATAACCTTCTCTGCCACCGTGGCCTCTTTGTTAATGAGCCTGTTGGGCAGTGACAGGAGTGGCTGGGGGAAGAGGATGACTGGTTTCCACAGAACACGTCATCCTATCCACTTGATTGTTAAAATCCTACTCTGCCATGGTGTCTTAGTTATCTAGTGCTGCTATAACAGAAATACCACAAGTGGATGGTTTTAACAAAGAGAAGTTTATTTCCTTACAGTAAAGTAGGCTAAAAGTCCAAATTCAGGGGGTGTCAGCTCCAGGGGAAGGCTTTCTCTCTCTCGGCCTTCTCATCAGTGTTCCCCAAGACTAGGAGCTTCTCGGCGCAGGGACCCCAGTCCAAAGGACACGCTCTGCTCCTGGCACTGCTTTCTTGATGGTATGAGGTCCCCAACTCTCTGCTTGCTTCCCTTTCCTTTTATCTCTTGAGAGATAAAAGGTGGTGCAGGCCACACCCCAGGGAAACTCCCTTTACATTGGATCATGGATGTGACCTGGGTAAGGGTGATGTTACAATCCCACCCTAATCCTCCTTAACATAAAATTACAATCACAAAATGGAGGCCAGCCACACAATTCTGGGAATCATGGCCCAGCCAAATTGATACGCACATTTTTTGGGGGACATAATTCAAACCATGACACATGGTCACCCTTTGGTTAGCATTCACATGAGACACAAATATTTTCACTTCTTTGGCTGATTCAGAGAAGTCTGTCCATATATCTCTTCCCCATACCTCCTTGTCCCCAATTTTCTAATCATGTTCCTTCCAAGTTCCTGACTATTGACCACATCCAGCCAAACCATTGGCCACAGCCCATGAATCACTATACAGTTGCACATCTGGCCATATCTCTTTCCAAATAAAGTGAACAACCAGGTGAACTGCTCAAAGTTCTGCCTATTGGGAGGATTTCCCTTCACCGCTGTCCTTAAGGGAGGTCCCAGAAAGGGGCTATGGTGCTGCTGCTGTACACTTTCGAGTAGTGCCTGCATATTGTGCAGACCCATCTGTAAACCAAGCACGAGTTTTCTCTTCCTCAGTCAAGTGATCATAAGGAACTCCCCATGAGGCTGTAGGTGCAGACTGGGAGATGGAAGGTAATGTGACAGGAGTGGAGACCATGGGCATTTTGGCCACTTCCTCATGCAACCCAGTTGTGCCTTCAGTCTTGCTCAGGCCTGGTCTCATATATACCGCGTCCAGTTAATGATGGAGTACTGATGTGCACATCCAACTTTATGGCTTTGTGGGTCAAGACAACACCCAGTTCATGATGGGCAGCTCAGGCCACAGTGACTTGGTGACCCATGGTTAAGCATTCAGTCTCTACTAAGGTCCAGTTACAAACCAAAAGCTGTTTCTCAAAAGGAGAGTAGTTATCTGCAAAGGATGGCAGGGCTTTGCTCCAAAATCCTAAGGGTCTGCTCTGTGATTCACCAATAGGGGCCTGCCATAGGCTCCAAACAGCATCTCTATCTGCCACTGACACTTCAAGCACTATTGGATCAGCTGGATTCTATGGTCCAAGTGGCAGAGCAGCTTGCACAGCAGCCTGAACCTATTGCAGAGCCTTCTCTTGTTCTGGGCCCCACTCAAATCTAGCTGCTTTTTGAGTCACTTGATAAATAGGAGTAGTACACGCAAATGAGAGAAATGTTGCCTCCAAAATCCAAAGAGGCCCAGTAAGTGTTGTGCCTCCTTTTTAGTTATGGTGGGGGGGGGGGCAGGTGCAACAACTTATCCTTCACTTTAGAAAGACTATCTTGACATGCCCCACACCACTGAACCCCTAGAAATTTCACTGAGGTGAAAGGTGCCCGAATTTTTGTCAGATTAATTTCCCACCCTCTAACACACAAATGTTTTATCAATAAGTCCAGAGTCATTGACACTTCGTCCTTACGGGGTCCAGTCGTCATAATGTCATCAATGTAATGGACCAGTGTGACATCTCGTGGAAAGGAAAGGTGCTTGAGGTCCCTGTGGACTAAATTATGACATAGGGCTACAGAGTTGATAAAGACTTGAGGTCGGACACTGAAGGTGTATTGTTGGCCTTGCCAGCTGAAGGCAGACTGCTTCTGGTGGTCCTTCGAAACAGCTATGGAGAAAAAGGCATTAACCAGATCAGCAGCTGCATACCAGTTACCAGGTGATGTATTAATTTGCTCAAGCAATGAGACTACATCTGGAACACCAGCTGCAATTGGAGTCACCACCTGGTTAAGTTTTTGATAATCCCCTGTCATTCTCCAAGATCTGTCTATTTTTTGCACAGACCAGATAGGTGAGCTGAGTGGAGATGTGGTGGGAATCACCACCCCTGCATCCTTCAAGTCCTTAATAGTGGCGGTAATCTCTGCAGTCCCTCCAAGAATGTGATATTGCTTTTGTTTTACTATTTTCCTAGGTAGAGGCAGTTCTAATGGCTTCCTCTTGGCTCTCCCCACCATCATAGTCCTTATTCCATTTTTCAGGGAGCCACTTTGGGGGTTTTGCCAGTTGCTGGGTACGTCTGTTCCAATTATGCATTCTGCAAGTGGGAAGTCACTACAGGATGGGTTCGGGGACCCACTGGACCTATGTGAGACGGACATGAGCTAAGACTCCATTAATAACCTAACCTCCATATGCCCCCCTCTGGCTGGTGGGCCACAGTGACATTTTAATGTCAGTTCAGAGCTTGTATCCAATAATCCCTGAAAAGTCTGATTATTTCCCTTTCCCCAGTGCATAGTCAGTCTTGTAAAAGGCCATAGATCCCTTTGGGGAAGACTGGGAGAAAAATTAACAGTATAATTTTTTGGCAATGTAGTGAAGCCCTTCCTCAAGGGGACCCTCCCTGCCCTTTATTCAAGGGCTTGTGGGTCTTTAAACTCACTGAAGTCTGAGAATAGATTGAGGGACTGTGACTCCTACTCTGGCATTTCACATTAGACTGCTGGTCCCTTTACTTAGAGTTCTTCTGCTTGTACAGATCAAGT